CTTTTTGGAAAAGAAATTGCTTGAAGTGGTAATTAACGCGTTAACGATATCGGCATTTTTTTCGATTGTTTAATGACGTATTTTTGAGCTTCTGGCACGTCACTTTGGCTTCGACGTTGCCGTTATACTGTCACAGATTCACTGACGCTTAAAACGTGATGAAAAAACCTGACTATCGGACACCAAATATTGACCACATAACTACGATGATGCTGAAATATTTGCAAAAGCGGGACCTCGGCCAGATTTGAACCCGTGATTACCTTTTCCGAGAAGGTGGAGGAAAGAGAGGCTCACGTTTTGCCCACTGCATCCCTGAGGCCAAAACTCTGCTCATATTCCAGTTGTGTTTTTACTCTACCGGTGCTATCGGCGATTACCCGGGAATGATACGAGCACAAATCGGTATTGAAGCTATTTAAGCTGAGGTTGCACTAAAAATTGCAATGTCCAGCTTTTTAATTTACTGCTTGCTACTTTTCATGGCAGTGCATTATGTTCAATGGAACCACAACGATGCTGAAATATTTGAAAAAATCGGACACCAGGGCGAATTCAAGCCCGCGAATATCTTGAGTTCAATGGTGGTTTGCGCTCTTCAAGTCAATTTCGATGACGGCTGATTCCCCACATCACCGTTCGGGTGAAAACTGACTGAGAGATGGGCAAATCAAGGGCATCGGCGGTTCAATGTGAGTGAATAAGTGAGCCACGGAAAGGCTAGTCGTGAGTTTGAATCTGGCTAGAGCTTGAGTTTTGCAAATATCTCAGCATCATTGTAACTTTGTTTCACATAATAACCTGATATGAAGAATAATAGGAAGTAAATAAAAAAGTTAAATATCAATATCAAATCGTTGCCATCGCCGTTTCAGCATACAAACTTTGCTTAGTAATATGTTTTGACTTCATACAACCATTACGCCGAGCTTCATCGATTGTTTGACCATGTTTACTCTTAATCGGAAGTGATGATGCGATTCTCAAGTTGACTTATGATATTACCAATAAGCAGGAAGCTTCAGATTTTAAAACCGCAGTTTTTGAATGTCACTGGATGGCTTGGAATCCTACCACTGCGCTTCATGGGTTTCCCGGCACCTCCAGGTGATGAGAGGTTTAGTTGCACACTGAGAGTCGGTTGCTGGTTACCGAACAGCCTGGTATGCATTGCCTTCAATCAATGTGATGGATTCGTCGATATTACCAACAGTTGTGAACCATCACTATCCATCATTGCCTTATCATCTGTTCGCATGAATACACAAGTGTGCAAGCAAGTAAAGTATAGTCCACGAAGTCGCGAACGCTTTCGTTTTCTTCGACTGTTACCGATTTACCGATCTTAGCCGCTATCGATTTCAATTCATCGAATGTAATAGCGCTTGGTTTTAGTATTCCTAGTCAGTGTTCACTGACCAGTGGTAGCCAGCGAGCATTTCTGTTTGCATCGCGTATCCGTTGTCATTCCTTCATATCGTGACTGTTTTGCGTCCCATTCTTTCTGTAGATGTGTGTTCTTCTTAAAGATGATCCAAACAGAAACCCTTCCCATTATCGCCACCTGAAATCTTATCATCTGAAGAATCCATCATTTTCTATGGCAACCCTTAACTGCTCTCATCTATATCCGTTTTCTTGTCCATTCTGCAACCCATGCTTCTGTTGGAACAACCAAATTAAAATTGAACAGATGTTTTCTCACCTGAAACTAAAGTTAAAAAATATGAAATTCCAACATACTTACTTACTTGGTTACTTGAACTGTTCGTTTTTTTTTTTGGAGACTTGCCGGCTCAAACATTGTAGTTCCGTGAGGTCCCAAGGTCAGCCTGGCCACGGTCTGCCCAATTCGAAAATAGAAAATGTAAAGCGAGAATCTTTGGAAAACGTAGAAATATTCTTTTTGCCAAATATGGTGAGTTGTCTGTGAAATTATGATCATATTTGTCACCTTTCATTTTGAACGGATCCTAACAATATTCGGATATTTTCATTTTGGTAGTTAGATATTTGACTATTCGTAGGCTTAAAAACCTTCATCACGCTTAGTTCATCCATCATTTATCCCAGCTTTTCTAATAGCGCTCTCTTTAAAAATAAAGGAAGAAAAAGTTTTTCCATACAATCAGTGTCGCTTCCATGACCTGAATTATATGTGATTTCTTCTATCAAATTTCAAAACTAGGGCACATTAGATGGGTCGAAAAACTCTCTCTTGTTGGGAAAAGAAGGAAATATGCATAATTGAATCCAAGGTTTCACGGCTATGGCTTGTCATGATCTGCTCTTTTTTTACGAGCATAGAACAACAGGAGAAAACGTTGTTTAATTCGACTCCATTCATCACTATTAGAGGTGAGTGTTGTCTGGCCTATAAAGTGACTTGCACAGGCCTAGTGATGTATCAAACCAGTGCTGGTTTCATCCCAGACGGGTCAGATAATAGCGTTTGGCTGATCTCGGGATGTAAACCTTGGTTGTTCTGCACGCTAAAACGAACTAACGACCATTTACATAGAAGAGTACCTCCAATCTCCGTGTTACACTTAACCTGCTTCATCGTTTTATACTTTTTCAGCGGGTCTCTTCATACTTGTATTAAAGCCCTTGTTCGAAAATTTTGGAACAGCTCGGGAAGAAATCTCAATGCTTAACTTTTATTCACTGGGTATTATTTTTTCCTTTTCTTTCATGACAAGGAACCATGTGAAATTCAAAACTCGGCAGCCCATGAGAGCTTCGAACTGGATTTTCGTTGACAGGAGATCGCTGTCAACATTGTCAGCCTAAAAAAACTGCCCGAGAGAAAAGCAAAGGGCCTCGATATTGACGTGGATAACACGTGAACCACTGAAAATGGTAATCGCAGATTCGAAGCTCATCTGCAGTTCCAACTTTGCAGATATCTCAGCATCGTTATGGTTATAGTTTAGGACGACTTTCTAAGCTATAAACATAATAAAGATCTTTCCAGGCTCTGAAGAAGGCGAAATCCGCCGAAACGTCAGCTTAATCGTGAACAAAGAATAGTAACACCTCGCGTTTGCTCAACAAAAATACGAAGAAAATCACATAATAAAGAGTTTACGTTAATGCCCTTGAGAGGACGAAAAATCCTCTCCTATTCTAGTGAACATGGTGGTTGATGTGAAATAGAATGGAGTAGAACTTCTAGAAGAGTTTCTACCACTGTGTTCGTCAATATCTTTATTAATTTTTTCTGCTCTTGTTTAGCAAACGCTAGGTGTTATTTTATTTTTTTTTTATTTAAACACAAGCTGACGTTTCGGCGGATTTCGCCTTCCTCAGAGCCTGGAAAGGTCAAGTTGACAGCAATCTGCCCAGCTAGACACCTCCATCACCAGTCTTTATTAAGTTTCAATTCAAGAATTATATTTATGTTGTAACAAGAATTTACGTTCTGGTACAAATCCTATCATTAAATTTGGTATGTAGTGTGAACGCTTTGCGTGGTATACACAACTGAGTTCGTAGTAACTAACTTCAAAGTAAACGTGTTATAGTAACTCCAAGTCCGACTTTCTATTAACCTCGGCATTGATTGAATAATTCTTTGTACTTCTGTTCAGCAAACACGAGGTGTTACCTTATTTCATTATTTACGTACAAGCTGACGTTTCGGTGAATTTCGCCTTCCTCAGAGTCTGGAAGGGTCAAGTTAACAGCAATCTATTCGCCCAAACACCTCCATAACCAAACAAGGAAAACGCTAAACGAAGATTTCAATCACATTGAACACAGCTTTGCACACTCACCGCTTTCTATCTGCCTTCCACTAAATATGTCAAGTAGAGACCAACCGCACAGAGTTCACATAGAATCGTAATGTGCCCATCTCATCAGAATAACAGGCTTATATACTGCCCAACATCACAAGTGATAATGGGGCATTCCTCTCTGTGGTTCATTTTCGGATTCTTGGAATTAATCCAGAATGCCTCTAGAGTCTTGCGCGCTTGTGTTCTCGATTCTTGCGCGAGGATCGTAACCCCTACTTCAAAATCTTCTTCGTTATGTCTCTATGTCCTATGCGTGCCTAGTAAAGTATTTGGTTTACGTTTGCCGACTAGGTGTTCTTTTATACGTACGCAGAGTGGTCTACCCGGTTCGCCAACGTATTCGTCCCTGCACGCTTGACAAGAGATCAGATGGACTGTATCCGAACTCATGCATCACCGTCTATACCATTGGGGCAAATTATGCAATTTTGCATTGCACATAGACGGGTATAGGCGGTTACGAACTAGCTGGCGTCTTAGATTATTCGGTGGTATCTCTCTACCAGAGGATGATTACCGGATAGTGGGCATCGAATTGCATGTACTACTCACCTGTCTACGAAGCAAGAAAACCAGATGTTCGCCAAGTGGAAGAAGTGCAAGAAAGAAAACTATTGTGCTCAGTATTTGGAGGACCGCCTCTGGAGGAGAACAGTGGGCGGGTCAGTGTTGATTTGCAACTCTATTAGGTCTAATGCTGATGTAACTTTGTTTAGAAAATTCGAAGACCTTTTGAGTAAATCGCATAATGCGGCTTCAAGAGCATACAGAAACACCACCAACGAAGATCAAACGAGCCACAGTAGGATAAATAATGTGCAAAGAATTTCAAGGCTAAGCGTGCTAGGAGGCATAACTCTCCCTTACGGTGCGCGCTCGTTATTAGAATTGGGACCGAGTTTCTCACCATCTGAACCCATTTCTAAGGTAACCTAGCGTAGGGTCGCATGTAGTTTACATGAACTTCAAGATAAACTCCGCATAAAAGCTAGGGATGAAGCGCTAAATAGGCGCGAACAACAAAAGGTAGAGGCAATACCAGCACCACCATTTCCTCAACCTTTCTTTAGACAACAAGAGCCCATTAATGAAGTTGATGTTAAATTTCGGATGTTTACGAATGAAACCTTCAAAGTCCTTAACCACTATCGCGTCAAGAGATACTGCTCCAACCTCACTGAAATACAAGAACGTGGTATGCGGGAGGTACGAGAGCTGATAAGATCGAAAAACATAAGACTATCGCTTAGTGATAAGGGTGGAGTGTTTGTCGTAATTCCTCATCAGTTAGATGTGGAGATAACGAAAAAGCGTATTGAAGATGCTTCGCTTTATCGCCCATCATCTGAGGAGGAATTTAAAAGTCAATACCTAAAGCTAAACAACGAATGGGTTAAAGCGGCAAGAGCGGCTAAGTTAAAACCAACAGTTATCTCCTATCTTAAAACTGACTTAGCAACATGTCCCGTCCTGTACTTACTTATCAAAACCCATAAGTTAGTATCCAGCGATGATCTCCTGTCTACACCATAATACTTACTCAGTTGTTGAAATACATTCCAGCCCACCTTACGAACACCCAAATGTTCTTGGATCGTCTACGTAACGCGCGACTCAACAGCGCGTACTTGATGAAGTCCTTCAACGTCGAATGACTCCGCCATGCAAGCCATCTGTGAGCTCCTTATACCACACGAAGGAGCAATAAACATGTACGGCTTCTCGATTCAGCAGTTGATGACACTCTTAAAGGAGTGCCTAAACGGCTCAATCTTCAGATGGTCCGGGAGGTATTACGCACAAATGAGAGGGCTGGCAATGAGACAACGACTGGCACCAATCCTTGCCATTACATTCACGTCTAAGGTGGAAGCGCCAGTGATCGACCTCGGTCCGTTACTCTACTGTAGATATATAGATGACTGCTTGGCCAATTGTTCAACGCAAGAAGAAATCGACAGATGTTTCGAGTTGTTGAACACACAGTCAGAGTATATCAAATTCACCCAAGAGGAACCAAAAGAAAACTGGCTTCCATTTCTTAACGTGCAAATTAGCCTATCAGAAAACGGCTACATTACGAAGTGGTATCGAAAGCCAAGTAGTAAAAACATCCTATTTCATTACCTCTGCTCTCATCCCTCTCACACGAAAAGGGCGCTTGTGAGAAACATGCATCGAACGACTACCAGCGTGTGCACAGGGAGACAACAGAGAGAGGAGTCCCGGAACTTGGCACGGCAAATAGCCATTTTTAATGGCTACGAAACCGTAGCTCCAGATAGGTGTAGAGAAAACCACAGGTACCCCAACGATAACTCTAGCGACAACAAGGTCCCGTTTATACTGCCCTTCATTTCAAATGAAGTAAGAGCAGCTATAAAACGCTGTTTAAGAAGGGCCAGTCTGGAGAATTCGGTAACGATAATCGAAGTATCACCGAATAATCTAAGGCGCCAGCTAGTTCGTAACCGCCTATACGACCGTCTATGTGCAACGCAAAATTGCATAATTTGCCCCAATGGTAGAGACGGTGACTGCATGAGTTCGGGTACAGTCCATCTGATCTCTTGTAAAGCGTGCGGTGACGAATACGTTGGCGAAACGGGTAGACCACTCTGCGTACGTATAAAAGAACACCTAGTCGGCAAACGTAAACCAAATACTCCACTAGGCACGCATAGGACGCAGAGACATAACGGAGAAGATTTTGAAGTAGGGGTTACGATCCTCGCGCAAGAATCGAGAACACAAGCGCGCAAGACTCTAGAGGCACTCTGGATTAATTCCAAGAATCCGAAAATGAACCACAAGGAGGAATGCCTCACTATCACACGTGATGTTGGGCAGTATATAAGCCTGTTATTCTGATGAGATGGGCACATTACGATTCCATGTGAACTCTGTGCGGTTGGTCTCTACGTGACATATTTAGTGGAAGACAAATAGAAAGCGGTGAGTGTGCAAAGGCTCAGTATTCAACGTGATTGAAATTTTGGTTCAGCATTTTCTCCGTTTGGTTATGGAGGTGTTTGGCCGTGTAGACTGTAGCCAACTCGACCTTTCAAGACTCTGAGGAAGGCGAAATCCACCGAAACGTCAGCTTGTACGTAAATAAAGAAATAAAGTAACACCTCGTGTTTGCTGAACAGAGGTACAAAGAATAAACGTGTTCCTTCGCTTCAGTATTTAAAGTGGAACACTGCTGTTTATCCCTCATCAATATGAACACAGATTTCATCTGATATTCTGTATCCGCTCACCTTTCACCATACTATTTTCTCATTTCAACTAACATTTGTGCTCGCCAGTAAAGGTTTCAAAGAAACTGATTTGATATATGCCTCCATGGTTTATTGGATAGCAGACCTCTAGATTTCTGGGGAAAGTCTTTTTTGTCTCCCTCGTTTTGAACATGACTTGAGGTCCAATCATTACTATAACTGGGAGTTCAGCTGATGCCGTGCTCGCTGTTTGTGCCGATCGTTCGTGGATCACGTCAGTGCGCCGCATGCCACAGCAGACTGGAATCGCATGGATTGGATGCCGTTTTTGTGGAAGCGAGATCGATTTTCAGCACACCGAATACGCCGAATGTGGATCGAAAACAACCGAGGTACCTACTATTTGTCCTAGTTAATGTTTTTCTAGCTTGTTTTCTCTATTTGGATCACAGATGATGAACAACTATGGGGATATGGATTTAGTAGTTGACTAGACCGCTTCGATTGGAATGTTACTTGAAGTCCTGAGGTTACACATTCCTGTACAAATCATTCGAAAAATCACAAAGGTCTAAAATCTCGCTCCTAATCGCCAAAAAAAAGATTAGAAATTTCTTTAAATCTCTTTTAACAAATAGTTTTTAGTCGTTTTCTTTCACAGCAATCGCAAGGTTGTTAAACAGCATACGTTTAATTCCATGCAATAAAACACATGCAACACAACCGTAGCTGACGTTTCGGCAGTATCGCCTTCCTTAGAGCCTGGAAGGGTATACTGATATACAATCTACTAGGCCAAACGCTTCAATGACACTTACAAAAAGACGAAAGACTCTTTGGTAATTACATGATCAACACCTCGAAAAACACACCGCTCTTTTCGCGACTTCCAATGAAGAGGGTTAGAACAGCTGATTATAGTAGCACATGGCCGATGACTGCACCACCCCAGATCAAAAATCGATGCGAACATAAGGGGTTAGGTCGCGTATGGCCTCTAGGCATTCATCCCTACAAATCATTGAGGGGTTTTTGGCATTTATCCAAAAACCCCAAGAAGTTTGCGCGTCAGTGTTCATGCTTTTGTCTCCTATGCGTGCCTAGTGGGGTACTTTGTCTTAGTTTTCGTTTGCCATTTAGGTGTTCTTTTATACGGATACACAAAGGCCTGCCCATTTCACCAATATATTCATCTCCGCAATTATTGCAGGAGATCAGGTATATCGTATCTGAACTCATGCAATCACCGTCCCTGCCGTAGGGGCAAATTACGCAATTTGTTGTTTCACACAGACGGTCATACAGGCGGTTACGAACTAATTGACGACGTAGAGTAGCCGGTGGTATTTCGACTATCGCTACCGATTCCTCTAGACTTGGCCTTCTTAAGCATCGTTTTATAGCTACGCTTACTTCATCCCTTATAAAAGGCAACATAAACGGGATTTTGTTTCGGCCAAACCGTTCGTTTTGTAGCGTCGCTCTCCATCGGCGAAGTTTTTACGATATAATACTATGTCTATCTGTATGACAGCCACAAGGGACGCGTGTGGTCGCAGTGGTCGGAGGCGCCCTGCAACACACACTTGGAATCGATTCCCGTGCCCATGGCCCACCAAGCCTTCCATCCCTCCGGGCTCGGCGTATTGGGACAGACTTGTCTGGGAGCATAGCAGCATTGGGTCGGTAAGCCACCGCAAGTCATTGTAAAGGCCTTCGATCACCTCCAACGATACCTGATGAAGTCGAATGCATGGCGCATCCCTCATGGAGAGATCAACGCCGAGAGCTTTTTTACTCCTTAAATAGTGTTTCTATCTATATGACAGCCACATATACTGCTAGGTGATTGAGAAAATAATGTTGGCTTCATGATTTCAGGCTCTTACTAATTGTTCTTTTGTTTTTGAGAAAATTTTGTTTTCGACTTGATCTACACCATGTATGTTCTATGGCAGAGATTTCTATCGTGATGATACGACACACCAAGGACTGTTAAGCTCGAGAAAATGACAGGCGAATGGTGAAGAGTTGGCTGAGTTTAACCATTGTTCCAAGTTGTTTGTCAAAAAACTGGACCAATTGTGCTGCAAGATAACAGCTCGACCAATCCTACCATAACCAAGACGGCGAAAGTTGAATGAACTGAGATATGAAACTCTTCCTCTCCGACTACTCGATTGCCACTTTCTAGAATTCGATAAGGAACTCCTGGTAAACTTCATATACCCATCTGCTGCGTTTAGAGAATTTATAACTTACGGAAAGCTTAAATTTTTATCACAATTAGGAGAAATTTGTACTAATTCAGCAATGGCAAATGTAGGCATAAATGATTTTTCTCCCAATTCTATTCTATTCTATTTGATCCGTCTTCACGTCTACTGTGCGGTTCCCAGCACTTCTCACATTCGATTCGCTTCCTCGCATTCATTGTCCATGAAGTTCTTCCAACGTGTGGCTTCGGTTGCTGCTTGAGGATTTCCATTTCATCTTGAATGCCGTAGAAAGCTGCTCTAGCAACTTCAAAGAGAGCTGACCTGGAGAGTTCTCAATTGGGTTGTGGAGAGTGATTTTTTTCCCAAGTAACTCCGGTACCAATTCTTCGACCACGAAGAGATGACGGACTTGGTTGGCCCGGAGCGAAGTCGAAATAGCATTATGCTCGTGATGATGGACATAACTACCACTGTGCTATGCGCCCGCTTTGTGCCTTAGAACGAGTTGATGTAATGGAGATTGTAAAACCGAGTGTACTTTCTCAATATCTTTCCATCAAAGCTTTAGAAGTTACTAAAATTGCGTGAAACTTTAGTGAAATTTAATTGTTTTTCTGCTTTTCATCAACGTCACTTATTGCTTCATCTCTCTTCAATGAAATATGGAAATCTATGCTACTATATGTTATCATCTATCACCATCACTTCCTAATATTCTTCTCCAATCTTCGACGCTTATTTTCTAGTTGCAATGTTCGGTATATTCGATTGCAACATGGGTTGAACATGAACCATGGCCAACTGTGGTCTCAGTTTGATTACTTGCTTTCCTTCTTGGTTGATTTCATTTCTTATTTTAAAGAATTTTTTCGATTTGGAAGCGACCGTTTATGCTTATGATTCAAGATGTTTTTGGCCAACCTCTAAAGCCCATTCCATAGATGTTGTGAAGCAGACGGGGAATGCAAGATGTTCATAAACCAAATAAGCAGTTGTTACATCGTTTGAAATAGCTCACAGTGATAACTTTTTATTTGCTCCCTACTACAAATTTCACGGCAGGGTATTATGCGACTTACAACCACAGTGT